AGAGCAACATGCTGCAAAGGAGATATTTGCTGTCGAGGAAGTGGTACCGATACCAGAGCCTTCGACCTCGGAGAAATCGAGCACCAAAGGTAAGCGGGCGGCTAAATAGCAATCACCGTCCCCAACCTCGATGGAATCGAAGCAACATGTAATCGAAGACGAAGAAGAGGACTTCCTTACTCCTCGAACCTTCATCGTTCCCGAAGAGTCCGATGCAACCAAATCAACTGTCGAGGAACTGGAGCAGTTCATACTGATCAAATACATGCCCGCGAGAAAGGTATACCTGGGGACGGGATTAATCCCCGAACTCAGGGAAAAACTCATTCAATTTCTTATTGATAATATGGATTGCTTTACTTGGTCCCATTTAGATATGACAGGGATTCCACCGGAAATCACCACACATCGTCTAAGCATCGACCCCAGGTTCAAACCGGTGAAGCAAAAAAGGAGACCCCAGTCCGAGGTGAAACATGTGTTCATAAAGGACGAAGTAACCAAACTTCTTAAAATAGGGTCTATTCGGGAGGTAAATACCCCGAATGGTTAGCCAATGTAGTTGTAGTTCCTAAAAAGGGAGAAAAACTTAGAATGTGTGTAGACTATAAGGACTTGAACAAAGCATGTCCCAAAGATTCTTTCCCACTGCCCAACATCAACCGTATGATCGATGCTACGGCCGGCCACGAGATCCTAACTTTTCTCGATGCCTACTCCGGGCACAATCAGATTCAGATGAACCCGGAGGACCAGGAAAAGACTTCATTTATTAATAAATTTGGAACTTATTGTTACAACGTAATGCCCTTTGGGATAAAAAATGCAGGAGCTACATACCAACCTAGTTAACAAAATGTTTGAAGAACAAATAGGTAAAACAATGGAAGTTTATATTAACGATATGTTAGTTAAGTCCCTGCGCGCAGAGGACCACTTAGCTCATTTGCAGGAAATATTCGAAATCTTGAGGAAATACAACATGAAGCTTAACCCGGAGAAATGTTCCTTCGGAGTCAGCTCGGGTAAGTTCCTCGGCTTTATGGCATCGAATTGGGGTATCGAAATTAACCCCGATAAGATCAAGGTCATCGAGGATATCACGATCGTGGATAGTGTGAAGACCGTGCAAAGGCTAACAGGGAGAATAGCTGCTTTGGGTCGATTCATTTCCAGGTTGTCAGATCGAAATCACCGTTTCTTTTCCTTGCTCAAAAAGAAAAAGGATTTTGCATGGACCCCGGAATGCCAGCGAGCCTTGGAAGAATTAAAGTGATACTTATCGAGCCCGCCTTTGCTTCACACCCCGAAGGTAGATGAAATACTTTACCTATATCTGGCAGTGTCCGAGATAGCGGTAAGTGGAGTACTGGTTCGAGAAGAGCAAGGTATGCAATTCCCTGTTTATTTTGTAAGCTGAACTCTAGGAGATGCCGAAACTAGCTATTCTCACTTAGAAAAATTAGCACTTGCATTGATAAGAGCATCTAGAAAGCTAAAACCATATTTTCAATGTCATCCTATATGTGTATTGACCACTTACCCCCTTCGAAATATTTTGCATAAGCCCGAGCTGTCGGGCCGGCTGGCCAAATGGGCCGTCGAACTTAGTGGGTACGATATCGAATATCAACCCCGTACCTCCATCAAGTCTCAAATCTTAGCTGACTTAGTGGTTGATTTTACGCCGACCCTCATACCCGAAGTGGAGAAAGAACTCCTGCTAAGTTTGGGTACATCATCGAGGGTATGGACCCTTTTTACGGATGGTGCCTCGAATGTGAAAGGGTCCGGTCTTGGCATTATCTTGAAGTTTAGATAATCTATCAAAACTTCTAGATTGACTAACAATGAGGCCGAGTATGAGGCCATGATTGCAGGTCTCGAGCTAGCTAAGAGCTTGGGAGCAGAAGCCATCGAAGCTAAGTGCGATTCTCTATTGGTGGTAAACCAAGTAAACAAAAGTTTTGAAGTTCGAGAGGATAGGATGCAACGATACTTGGATAAGCTACAGGTAACTTTGCACCGCTTCAAGGAGTGGACTTTGGATCATGTGCCTCGAGAACAAAATAGCGAGGCCGATGCACTTGCTAATCTAGGATCCTCGATTGAGGAGGATGACATCGTCCCGGGGACTGTCGTCTAGTTATCGAGGTCTGTGGTTGAAGAGGGTCATGCTGAAATAAATTTAACAAGTTTGACGTGGGACTGGAGGAACAAGTATATTGACTATTTGAAAAATGGAAAACTCTCCTCGGACCACAAAGAATCGAGGGCCCTACGGACCAAGGCTACTAGGTTCGCATTAGATGGAGATGGAACATTGTACAGAAGAACGTTCGATGGGCCATTGGGGGTATGTTTAGTGCCGAGGGACACCGATTATGTTCTACGAGAAATCCACGAAGGTACATGTGGGAACCACTCAGCGCCAAGTCTCCGGTTCGCAAAATCATTAGGCAGGATATTACTGGGACAACATGGAAAAAGATACAAAGGAATTCGTCAAAAAATGTGACAAATATCAACGGTTTGCACCAATAATCCATCAACCTGGAGAACAATTCCACTCGGTCCTATCCCCGTGGCCTTTCATGAAAAGGGGAATGGACATAGTCGGCCCTCTATCAACGGCCCCAGGTAAAGCTAAATTTATTTTATTTATGACTGATCATTTTTCTAAATTGGTGGAAGCACAGGCCTTCGAAAAGGTTAGAGAAAAAGAAATTATTGACTTCAGCTGGGACCGCATCATATGCCGGTTCAGGATACCTGCCGCGATTGTATGTGACAATGGGAAAAAATTCATCGGCAACAAGGTAACGGAGTTCCTCGAAGCACACAAAATAAAGAGGATCTTATCAACACCATACCACCCAACTGGAAATGGACAGGCCGAGTCAACGAATAAAACTATCATTCAAAACTTGAAGAAAAGGTTGGACGAGCAAAAGGGAAATAGAGAGAAGTTCTACCCGAGGTTCTTTGGGCGTATAGAACAACATCGAAGTCTAGCACTGGGGCTACCCCATTTTATTGGGTATATGGCTCCGAGGCCCTTATCCTTGTCGAGGTCGTAGAACCCAGCGCCAGGTTTCGGCATGCATCGCAGGAGTCAAATCGCGAGGCTATGTATACTAGCCTCGAGCTATTAAATGAGAAACGAGAAGCAGCGCTTGTTCGGATGGCCACGCTGAAGCAAAGGATTGAGAGGTACTACAATAGAAGGACCAATCTTCGACATTTCAGAATCGGGTACTTAGTTCTACGGAAAGTCACCCTCAATACTCGAGACCTGAATGAAGGGAAACTGGGCCCGAATTGGGAAGGACCGTGCCAAGTCCTCGGGGTTGTCGATAAAGGATCTTACAAACTCAGCACGATGGTAGGTGAACAACTGCTAAACAATTGGAACGTATCATTACTCGAACGATACTACTGCTAAGGTATGACTTTATCCTATTGTCCATTTGAGTTTAAAACTAACTCAGTGCAGATTTTCGATCGAAGCTATCGAAGACACCCTTTTTACACGAAGGCCTTAGGTTTTAAAGCATGCGTTGCACTCTTTTTCCCTTAGACCGGATTTTGTCCCAAATGGGTTTTACCGGCAAGGTTTTTAACGAGGCAACAACAATATGCTACCTAAGGAAAACTCAAACAGTATCTAAGGCTTCTTTTCAATCAACCTCGAATACTGGGGGGGCATCACCCTCGGAGATCATATTTTTGAGGAAAATACTTCACGCCTAAGAGGGCCTCGATAAGGAAAACTTTGTAATGGGCCAAATGGTCAGATGAACCGTGTCCATATATAATAGTCGTGCCCCGTTGGAAAAACATGTACGCATGTATCAATTATTTGAAGAAGCATTCTGTTTATACCAAAAACACTTTGTGTCTCAAGGAAGTCTACTATTATACGAGCTCTACACTTATAATCCTACGGGAAACGGCTCAAGAGCCAAAGCGCGAATGCAGCCCCGAGATACTCGAGGATTGTTATCGACAGTCAGCACATCTGAGTCATCGAAAACTCGGACTCATAAGACCTCAAATAGGCATCCCCTCGAAACAAAGGCCAAGGCTAATATACTCGGGGACTAACTTTTCGAACAAGTTTGAAAGGTTATCGGGAAACAACTCCAAGCGACATACCCGAAGGCTACGGCCATATTAAAGACTAAGGTCATATAAAAAGGCTACGGCCAAAATAATGCGGCTCGGAGACGTCCGAATTCTGCCATAAATTAAAGGCCTTCAAACACTTTGAAAAAACCGGTTAAATCAGGCTACCCTCGGCAAAAGCAAAATATAAAGGGCTTCGATAAATTCAGCCCTCGAATAATTTAAAGGCTTCGATAACATCAGCCTTCGAAAAGACCTCAAGAGGTATTCGATCATGTTTAGACAAACAGATTAATAATAAGGTTCCAATTCGTCAAACCTTCGAAAAACCCAATGGGTACGAAAAACACATGCCAAGACATAATTAAATTTTCACTAAGTCTTTTAGCCGAAAAAGAGGGAAAAATTATAGCCACTTTAGAGGTCGAATCGGCCCAACTTAAAGAGCCTAAGGGCAAACTATAAGAGCCTAAGGGCCAAACTATAAGAGCCTAAGGGCCGATATAAAAGAGCCTAAGGGCCAAAATTCATAGAGTTCGAGATCTTGCTCTCACTTAACTCGGACTCAAGAGTCCCGACATCCCGAGCTCGTATCAAATCAATTTAAACTTAGCTCGAGGATTTACAAAACCTTAAGGGGTATTATATTTATTAGTAAAAATCTAAGGGTAATTATGTTCCGAGTCCAAACCAATACTCGGACCGATCATTTGAGTTGTACAGTCGGAATCTTACACAAATAAGAACAAAATAAAATCCAACACAAGTCAAAATCGAAACAAAGAGGTCCTTTTTGTATTTTCGAGGGATGATTGCAAAGGTGTTTACACAAGGGGTACTTGCACAAAAACACAAAATAAAGAAACTTAAATCTACTCTAGGGCCACAACTTTGGCAGCAGCACCTTCGGGAGCTTTGCCCTCGGGAACCTCCCCCTCGGGGACTTCATCTTCGTCTCCTCCGCTCTCGGAACCACTGGCTGAATCCTTGTCAACAGAAAGCAAAGTGACAGCCTCTTCTTCCAAACTCTTTGCTTTTTTGATATCGGCCGAGAGATTGAAGCCACGAGCATACACATCTTTGAGGGTTTCTCTCCGGGACTGCCGCCTGGCATGATCAAGTGCACATGATAGCTTAACTTTGGCCGCAGCAGAGATCTCCTTTGCCCAGCTGTTAGCTGCCTCAACGTCAGCTCAGTACGAAGATATAAATGCCTCTGCATAGTATTTGGCCCTACCAAGCTCAACAGCAGATTTAGCTTCAAGCTCCTCGATCTTTCGACTTCGAGCCAGGCTTTCCTCCTTCACACTTTGAAGGTGGCGTTCGTTTGAAGCCAGCTGCTCTCGAAGAGTATCCTTCTCCGAAGCAAGACGACCCATGCCTTGCCTCCACCCTAGGGTCTCGGCTTCCTTCATCTTGAGCTCCTCTCGGAGCTGCTGCACCAGCTCGCTCTTTTGTTGAACCTATAAAGTTAAAGCGTTAGCCGACCAGTCGGGCAGATACATAACAAAACTCTAAAGGGAATGTTACCTCTTCGACAAGCTCGGTCCATTCTTGACGAGCCTCCGCCGGTTCAGCTCGAAGGTCACTGATCTCCTCATCTTTCTTGACATAGAGGGTTTTAAGACCGTCCCTCTCTTTCGAGATTTTCTTAAGCTCGACCTCACATCGAGCAAGCTCAGCTCGAGACTTGGAAAATGATTCTTTATGGAGCGTCACATCCTTCACAAAAAAGGAAAAAGTTAGACTTAGAGCAACAAGGATAAAACGCAGGTGTAATTCTGAAGAACAGAGGCTTACTTGTTTGAAGAGACGATGAGCCTCATCGAAAATGAAAGAAGCATCTGGATCGGGACCATCTTTAATCCCTGCAAGGCATTCTCGAAAGATATCGTGCCCCTCGTGGCTCGTCCCCACATCAGGAGTTCTCATGTTCCGAGCATCTCGGAATTACCCCTTTGAGAACTTGGGACCAGGCGGTGACACATCTATATTAATTACCCCAAGTGATCCACTCGAGGCATTCTCTTCTCTTTGAAGGACCTCGGGACCGGCCCCCTCGGTCTCACCATCCAAATGACCTCTAAGATGAGGTGCTCTAATGCTGCCCGATGGCTTGGGGACTTTGCTCGAACTCCCCTCAAAGATTCTTTGGTTCTAGAATGAACCGCATCTGCTACCACCGGTTCGATAGACTTCAAAGCACCGGTGCTTCCTCTTTTACGAACTACCAACAGGCAGTCGTCATCTTCTTCTTCTTCCTGGTCCCGAAGGCGTTGGGCCGTTTCTAGAGATAGGGCCACAGTATTGGCCTTAGGCTTTCGAGCCGCGCTTTTCTTAGGCTTCGGGGGATTTGCAGGCGACCCCCTCTTTCTTTTCTTTTCTTTGGAAGGGTTTGGGATCTCTTCTTCACCGGGTAGGGGCGGCCGCATAGCAACGGCGTCTCCGAGGCCTACATAAAGACAAATGAGTATTTTATTGAGAAACACAAAGTAAACAAACAAGAGAACTCACCGTGGTTTTTTGCCTCCCATCGGCCCTTGGCCAGATCGCGCCAGCAGCGCTCCGCGTATGAGGGGGTAGAGGCTAGTTTTCGGACCCAACCTTCGAGGTCTGGGACGGCACCAGGAAACCAAGCAACAGCTGCGCCATCGGAAAGGGGTTAGATCGAGAAAAAGATGAAGTCGAGAAAGAGAAGAGGAAGCAAGGTATAAAGTTACTATGTACTTACGTTTCATGTTCCATTCCTCGGGGAATGACATCCTCTCAGTAGGAATCAGGTTAGAGGTCCTGACTCGGACAAACCGGCTCATCCATCCTCGGTCTTTGTCCTCATCGATGCTGGAGAAGAGAGATTTTGAGGATCGGCGTTACAGTTTTATCAAGCCACCTCGATAAAAGCGAGGGCTGTACAACCTGATCAGATGGTCGAGGGGATACCCTCGACCTGGCTCGAGAAGAATCTGATCAAATGAACGATTCGCCAGAATGAAGGGTAGATCTGGCCATGCGTCACTTGGTATTATTGGCAAAAATCAAGGATAACTGGGTCTATGGGACGCAAGGCTGGATTCGCGGGATCCAGCGTGAATGGGTAGGTATACACGCTTAGGTACCCCACTTTATATGTAGTGATGTCCTTATCGGGGGAAGGTATCACTACATATTTGTTCTCCCAATTGCAGTCCCTTTTTACCTGCTCAAGCTCGTCTTCGGTTATCAAGCAGACGTATCGGGACATGGGCTCACATCGGCATGGTGTTGATACAGGTTTTTCAATTTTAAAATTGGATGTTGTTTCAAACGGCGGGGGAATACACTCCTCGATACAAGGCGGCACTACCGTTTTACTTTTGGCCGGTCGTGATAATGAAGAGGCTTTTTCTTTTTGAGGAACGGATTTAGATATTTTAGCCATTATGGTGTAGAAATTCAATGAGAAAGGGTTGATGATGAAGTAAAGGCAAACTAAAGAGAAGGATGAACTCAGAGAAGTTGAAGGAGCTAATGATATTTTTAAAACGATTAGAGAAGTAAAGCTTGTAAAATGGTGAAGTTGGCCTATTTATAGAGGTTACTCAAGCGTATTGGGGAAGACAAATAGCCGACCGTCAGCCGCCTCCAATTAATGACTTTGGGAACTGCACGAAAGCGACCTTTCAGTCACTTCAGCCGCTGACATCATGAGATTGGCATTGGGACCGAGGCATCGGCGCAGTGAAGATCAAATCATTTCTGAACGACCTACTCTAAGAAACGCGGGGACTATCTGTATACGGTCGAAATCAAGCACGCCTGATTTCCCAGGCTCGTGGGATCGCCTTAGGTCCGAGTTCAAGTAAGCTCGAGTTCGAGGTCGACAGACTAGATCCGAGCTCGAGGACGGAATGCAATGCCCGAAGATAGGAGTGAGAGGAATGCCGAAGTTAAGTATGCTCGACCCCAAAATTGTACCGTTATGGATTTGTAACAGAATAAGATAGATTACTGCCACGTCCACAAGATCATGGCACAAATCCCGGAATAGGATTGTACGATTCCGTACTAGGCGGTTAGACAGTTGTATCAAGAATATTCCTTACAGTAAATAGAAATATACCTTATTTAGGGTTCCTCTATTATATAAAGGGGACCCCAATCATTTTGTAACATCATTTCATCATTGGCAAGAATATGCTATCCTACTTTTCTCTCTTACTGTTCATCAGAATTGTCCTTTACATTTATTGCTCTTACTTTATTGCTCTTAGTTCATCTCGAGGTCACCACTGCTGAGTAACATTGGTTTAACTCACTTATTTCTTTCATTTCTAGTTCATATTTCTTGAATATTAATTGGTATTGAATTTAATCACATATATTTAAAACTACAAATCAAATTTAATTGTTACTCGTATTTTCGAGGTAAATACAGGTTTTATATCTTTTGTCAAGGGTGTAATTGCCATATTATTACAGATTTTTTGTCTGCTGGCTACCAAATCAATAATGTTTAAAAATAGGGTACAGGTTAAAAGGTGGCACAAATATAAGGTACGGCTGTAAATCCCCCGAGAGAAGCTTTTAGTTGGACATTTAGTAGGCGTTTGGACATAAGAATTGTAAAATTCCAAAAAATGGTGAAATTGTTTTTCAAGTGAAAATGATATTTGAAATTTGGAGTTGTGTTTGGACATAAATTTCAGTTTGGGTTGTTTTTGAAGTTTTGTGAGTGATTTGAGCGAAAATTTTGAAAAACAGCTTTTTGTTTTTCAAATTTTCGAAAATTTCCAAAATGCATCTTCAAGTGAAAATTGAAAATTTTATGAACAAACGCTGATTTCGAAAAACGGTTAAACTTTTTTTGGGAAAAAAGGAATTTTTTTGGGGGATTTTTACATTCCTATGCCATATTGTAAACTATATTACCCGGCATGCTTAACTTTTAATATAATTATATTTTATATACCTAATTACCATTTATGTACATTTTAGAGGTTTTAATGGTATTAATTAGTCTCCTAATTTAACTCTACCGTATATTCCCACTCCCCCCAAGTTTCTCTCTCCAAATCACACCCCCTCACCCACGTATCAAACCACAACCCACGATTTCCTCTTCAATCACCCACTATTTCCTCTTCTAAAACCAGCGAAAATCTGTAACCCCTCCATTAACGCCTACTCTTCTAAAATCAGTCAAAATTTCTACTATTCTTCAAGGTTCATTCACCCATTAACGACCAGCTTCAAAGATTTTCAATGAAGAAGAACAAAGCTTCAAAGAACAACCCTAAAAAGGTTAAAGAAGCAGATGTTCCTTCTTTCGATTTGGGTGTTTTATCACCACATTCACAGAAAAAGCATGAAAAATCTGCTCATGCAAATGAAGAGAAGAAGCATAGGCTTTCCCCTCGTCAAGCTAGGGCAGAAGCTAGAACTAAACAAAAACATGATTTTGATGCTGGTGAATCTTCGAGGCAAATCAATTCAGCGAATAGGAAAGGCAACGAGATAGATTTTGATGATGGTTTTGTAGAAGATGAACCTGTCAATAAACCTGCAAAGAAAGTTAAAGTGTCTCCTATTGTAAAAGCTCCAAAAAAAGCTCCTACTGTAAAATCTCCTAAAAATGTTCAACAACATTCATTGATGAAGGTAAGAATTTAGTAATTTCAACAATAGTTTTTTTATTTGTTTTAATTCTTAAAAGGCTCCATAATCTGTGTTTTTTGTGGTTTGTAGATATTTTGTCTACATTGTGAAGATTAGTTGTAGTTTTCTGAATCTGTTTAAACTTGTAGATATATTGTTAAAAAATTGTAGTTATTTTTTTTTTGTTTTTAACTGTATTATGTAGTTGTAGATATATTATAGATATATTGTATGACGAATATAGATATATTGTTTTTTAGATTGGAGCAGTGTAGTAATAAGAGATTACTTGTTTTTTGTGCAGAATCGCCATTTTTTTGCACCTCATAATGTTGATTATGGGGTCCTTAGGTTTCAGACATTATCTGACCCCAGTGTTCCTAGCCAAATTAAAGAGTTATTGTCTCCAAATGGTTTAAAGCTTTTCAAGAAGACATGTTTTGGTTATTTGCTGTCAATTCCCAAAATATGTATGCAAAACCAAGCTATTCATCTTCTGATGAAGTATGAATTGAATGCATCTGGTGCTTCCTATTTTTCAACTGAGTTAAAGGGCCAGAGGTTGAATTTTGGCTTGAGAGAGTTTGCGTTAATAACTGGTCTTTGATGTTTTATCGAAGTGACAGACTTTGGTTACACTCCGGATTATGATAGTAAGATAATGAGGAGTTATTTTCCAAACAAGAAAAAAGTGGAGAAGTCATACCTAAAACAGATTGTAACCAACAAAAGCTGGGTAAATGATGAGGACGCAGTCAAGTTATGTATTCTATATCTCATAGAATTCTTCATCTGTCCTTCAGACAAAGACAATGTTGGGTTGGTAGACCATTTTAGGTTTTATTTGGTGGACTCCGGACAGTATGCGACATACGCATGGGGTATTGATGATAGGCTATAATTACGTATTTTAGTCGATTATTACACTCTAATTTACTGAACTTTAGATGAGTTTGCGCTTTAATCGCTAGTGTTTTGCACTAATTGTGTGTTTTATGCTTGTAGGAGTGGTTTCGAGCTATATAGATTGTATTTGTATATAAAGTTGACGTGTCAAGACACGGGGATTAGTCAAATGGTCAAAGAATCACAATTAGCCACGAGTCAGGAGTTATAACAGATACGAGAAAAGAAAGAGGAAGAGGCACGGGACATCAGATAAGTAACACGGCACCCGTACCTATTTAAGTCATTTATATCCAAGAATCAGAAGGAATGAATCTGACAATAGAAAAGAGTGCAGATACGGCATTTAATGAGCATTAAATGTTGAATACGTTAGAGAAAATATTTTGAAT